GGCGGGCGGAAGGACCGAGGGACCGGCAGGCGGACGGGGCTGGGTCACGTGCAGTGGCCAAGGCCCCGGCGGCTGACCTGGGGTGAGACCTGGCCTGTGGCCCCGACTTCCGGCCCAGAGCAGTGTTGGGGACCCTGTCGCAGCCGGCGAGCCCGCCCCGCCCTCAGGCTCCTCTGCCCCCTCAGGCCACGGGCAGCCCGGTGTCCATCTTCGTGTATGACGTGAAGCCCGGTTCCGAGGAGCAGACCCAGGTGGCCAAAGCTGCCTTCAAGCGCCTCAAAACCCTCCGGCACCCCAACATCCTCGCCTACATCGATGGGCTGGAGGTACTCACTGCCCAGTCGCCCCCTCTCCTCCAGTCCCCTGCCCCTCTCATCCCTCCTACCTCAGCCCCCTGGAATTGTTTCTCCTTCTCCTCCTCGCTCTCACCTCCCCTTCCTCTCCCCGCACCCAGCCCTGATACCCCGGTACCCCCTTCCCCAGACAGACAAATGCCTCCACATAGTGACAGAAGCTGTGACCCCGCTGGGAGTGTACCTCAAGGCACAAGTGGAAGCTGGTGGCCTTAAGGAGCTGGAACTCTCCTGGGGGCTACACCAGATCGTGGTGAGTTGGGGGGCAGGGGTGATGAGGGCAGGGGTGAGGCTGTGGGTGCTGGCAGTGACGACTCCTCCTGCCCCCAGAAAGCCCTCAGCTTCCTGGTCAACGACTGCAGCCTTATCCACAACAACGTCTGCATGGCGGCCGTGTTCGTGGACCGAGCCGGCGAGTGGAAGCTTGGGGGCCTGGACTACATGTACTCAGCCCAGGGCGATGGCGGGGGGCCCCCCCGCAAGGGGTTAGCTGAGCTCGAGCAGTATGACCCCCCGGAGTTGGCTGACAGCAGTGGGAGAGCGGTCGGGGAGAAATGGTGGGTGATTGGGGAGCATTCCCCAACCTGCCCTGTGCTGTGGGGCCCTGAGACCCCGCCCCCTGCTGCCCATCTGGGGAGGGCACTGGGGTCCTCAGGGTGGGCCCACTCCCCTGTCCTGGAACTCTCAGGTGGCGGAGTAGCTATGGGAGCCGAAGCATAGGGCCCTTTGCTTCTCTGAGTCTCAGTTTCTCCATCTGTCAAATGGGGCTTACAAAATCTGTGTCTTGGGGCAGATGACAGGATGATCTGAGGGACACAGCCAGGGGCTGCTCACCATGCAACAATGGGTGACTGGTGCCCAAGGCAGGTGGGAGGCCCTGAGTGGCTCTGGGTCACTGCTTCAGGTCAGCTGACATGTGGCGTCTGGGCTGCCTCATCTGGGAAGTCTTCAATGGGCCCCTGCCGCGGGCGGCCGCCTTGCGCAACCCTGGGAAGGTGAGTGTCTGGCCCCCGGCCCCAGCTCCTCCCTGCCAGCCAGCCACCCCCACCCTGACCCTGACCCTGACCCCTCTCCCATAGATCCCCAAATCGCTGGTGCCCCACTACTGTGAGTTGGTCGGAGCCAATCCCAAGGTGCGCCCCAACCCAGCCCGCTTCCTGCAGAACTGCAGGGCACCTGGTGGCTTCATGAACAACCGCTTCGTGGAGACCAACCTCTTTTTGGAAGAGATTCAGGTGAGCCCTTGCCCCTCCTGTGCCCCCTTCCCCCTTCCTGCGGGTCCCCCATAATTGTATTTCTGGAGACAAGCACAGGCTGTGAAGTTAGGCCTGTCTGGTAGGCTCTGGTGGTGCAGTGCCTAAAGCATTTGACTGCTAACTGGAAGGCTGGCAGTTCAAAACCACCAGCTGTTCCACGGAAGGAAGATGGGACAATCAACTTCCGTAAAAATTTACCACTTTGGAAACTTGATGGGGGGGGTGCCTATGAGTTGCAATTGACTTGATGGCCATGGGGTTTGGGTTCACCTGCCTCTAACTCTTATTTGCTGTATGATTTCCCTGGGCCCAAGCACGGGCCTCTTGGCTGTAAAATAGGGATGATACCTGCTTCAAAGGAGCACAGTGAGGGGTAGAGTTAAAAGTCTAGTGTTTGGCACATAGTAGGTGCTGGTGGCTGCCTCTAGTCCTCCATGAATTCCCCGAATGTGCTGGTTCCGGTCCCCTGGTATGTATAGTGCCCTGTGCAGGGCTGGGCTGGACAGCAGTGGGCAGGAAGGAGAGTCAGACGTAGCCCCTGCCCTCGGGGAGATCGCAGGGAGCAAACAGACCAGGCTGCCACCCTCATGGACTCTCCTCGAGGACAGAAAACATACACAAGGAAGCACTCGCTCCTGGACATGGGGATAACCCCTCAGGGAAGGGTTCTCTGAAGGACGTGCAGGTGGGAGCCCTGGGAGGGCAGCTGGGGGAAGAGGATGATGAGGAGGGCGCCCTCTGCTTAGCCTCTCTGAGCCTCTGCCCCCATCTGTGTGATGGGGATGGCAGCGTGGGCTCTCCCATAGCGTGTTGTAGGGAATGACGCAGGAGGCTTTGCTGTACACATCTGCTTGACCCAGCCATGTGTGAGGCACACACAGGGAGGTGGCAGACCCAGCCCTGGGATGGGACTGGAGAGTGACAGACACTTCTACAGACCCTGGGGGAACAGAGCCCATGGAATCCCGACTCAGGCGGGGAGCAGGAAGCCCCTTGAGAAGTGGGGCCCTGAGCTGCTGCATCTTGGAGGGGACGCGGCTGCAAACACTGAGCCCTGTTGCTTCCTGGGCAGCGTGGGGGCAGCGGGAGCTTTGTTACATGGTGTTCTCACGTGGCTGGCCCTGCAGGGCCTCTTGGCCAGAGCCTGAGAAGCACCTGCCCTTCTCCTTAGAACGCTCACAGGAAATGGGCTATTGCTGGCCAGTGCTCCTCTGTCTGCTGCTGGGCGGAGTGGTGGGGAGAGCCTGGACTGTGGTTCCCAGTGTGGGATCTTGGGTGGGGTTGTCCATCTGGGCCGTGGCTCCCTGCAAACTTTGCAGTCATAGCACCAGGCCTGCCTCCCACGCTGTTGAGGGCAGCCAGCTCTTCTTCTTCCCAGCCAGAGGTTGCCTCTCCTGGGCCAGGCAGTGGCCATGGAGCACGGGTACAGCCAAGAACACAGGGACTTTGGGAACATCCAGGACCAGGTGACCTTGAGCCTTTGCCTCCTTGTAAATGCTGGGGTGTCAGCCCCTCTTTGCAGAGTGTAGTACAGCAGAGGGACTCAAGTGAGTGCCGGCCCGCTAGGTCCGATCCTCCCCGCTACTTGCTAGCTGTGTGATCTTGAACAAGCTTCTTGCCCTCTCTCTGCCTTAGCTTCCACAGTCAAACGTGGACCATGCTGGCACCCCTTGAGGTTGTCCAGGTTATTTGAGGTAACCTGTGTCAAGGGTACACATAAGCTGAGCTCAAGAAATGGGAGCTGGGGGCCTCTGGGGGTGAGGAGGAGTAAAGGTGATCTTGGAGTTGATGGCCTGGGTCTGTTTGGCTCCGTCAGAGGACCGGGTCTGGGGGTGACCTGCATCTGATACCTGTGTTCCCAAAGCCTGCTGTAAACCTTCTCAGCCCTGGGACTTGCACTGGCTGGGGCCAGGGCAACGGAATAAGCCTCTTTACTTCCGTGAACGTCAGTTTCCTCATCCGTGTGATGGGGTTAATGGTGCTTACACCCTGGGGTGTTTGTGAGTAGACACAGAGTAGTAAAGGGCCTGGTCCCCTCACGGCTGCCCTCCTCACTATGGTCGGGCGCTCAGGAGGCAAGGATGAGAAGGGCCCCATCCAGGTGGCCAAGTAACAGTCGTGTGCCAGGCATTTACGTGCATTTCCTCCGATCTTACATTTTGAATCTGGCTGTCACATTTTACAAGGAGCTCTGCTGGTGTAGTGGTTAAGGCATTTGGCTGCTAACCAAAAGGTCAGTGGTTCAAACCTACCAGCTACTCCACGGAAGAGAGATGAAGCAGTCTAGTTCTGTAAAGTCTTACAGCCTTGGAAACCCAGCAGGAATACCTATGAGTTGTAACTGACTCGATGGCAATGAGTTTTTATCACATTTTACAGATGTAGGAACTTGCCCAAGGCCCTACAGGTCTCATGTAGGAGAGTGGGGATTTGAACTGAGGCCAGGCTCCAGATCCACTAGTTACACTTCTGCTTGCTCAGGCTGGGGGTGACCTCCACCCTCGCCCATGGTGCAGGGGACTCTGGTCAGGTTGAGTCCTCCCTGCATCCTGTTCTTGCTCCCCCAGATTAAAGAGGCAGCTGAGAAGCAAAAGTTCTTCCAAGAGCTGAGCAAGAGCCTGGACTCGTTCCCCGAGGGTTTCTGCCGGCACAAGGTGCTGCCCCAGCTGCTGACTGCCTTTGAGTTTGGTAACGCCGGGGCCGTGGTCCTCACGCCCCTTTTCAAGGTGAGTGGGGACACCTGACAGGCTGGGGGGTTCAGGCTCGGAGCACCAGGATCCGTAGGGCCGGAGAGTTGGCTGCAAAAAGGAAGCTCCTGGGGTGGAGGTCAGCCCTACGGGGCCATCCCAGGGAGGGGTAGCCTGGCTGGGGTAGACCCAAGCAGACATCCCAGTGGTTTGGCAAGCATGGCCACCTGTGAGGACTTCTTGCCCTTGGGGACAAGAGATCTTGTGACTCCAAAGGTCTCTTCCTCCGTGGACTCCTTGTTCAGAGCCCCCAGCCCTTCTTCCATTTTCCTGAGATGGCCAGCTTGGTCTGACTCTTGGCACTAGCTTGCCTGGCTTCTGGGAGCTGGATCCTCTGGCCTCTTCTGTAGACCTCAGCCGACCCCTACGTGGATGCCTGCTCTTCCTGGGAGAATCCTTGCCAGGGGCTGGGGTGGGGAGGAGACAGTAAGAGGATTCCGTGTAGCTGGGAACCTGGAGAAACTGCAGGTGGGATACTGTGTGTGGCGTGTGTGCACAGGGGCACAGCTTTGGTCAGCCTCCTGGGAGAGGCCTTGGTCAGAAGAGGTTGAGGGCAGGACTAACAGATGGAGCATGGCCGAGGGGCTGCCGGGAGGGGGCTCAGCCCCACCTGCTCCTCCCGCAGGTGGGCAAGCTCCTCAGCGCTGAGGAGTACCAGCAGAAGGTCATTCCCGTGCTGGTGAAGATGTTCTCCTGCACTGACCGGGCCATGCGTATCCGCCTCCTGCAGCAGGTGGGCGCCTCGACCAGACCCACCCTCCCACCCCCACCCACAACACACACAGTGAGGGCTCACTGAAGCCAGCCTCTCTAGGAAGAGGAGGCACTGGTAGTCACAGGGCTCTGACACCCCCAACCCCTGGCTGGTCACTCACCCCTGGAGGCCTCTTCCTCTCATGTCTAGACTGGGCTAGTCTCTCCTGCAACCCCAGGGCAGCTGGGGGGGGTCAGTCAGAGGGGATGGGATTTAGGATGGGGGTTCCATGGGAGCCAGGAAGTACTGGTGACTCTCAGGTGTCTTTCCTTCTCCTGCCTGGCACAGTGGCCCTCGTCACGGCACTGGGTGGGGTGGGGGACTCTGAGCGGGTCCGTGGTACAGTCTGCCAGCTGAACAGGCCCAGAAGCCAGGCCTTCCAACTCCTAGTCCTGGCTTTTTCAGCATCTTCCCAGCCTTTCCTCACCCCTCCATGTGGACCTGAGGCTGCCGAGGGGGGCGGGGGGCTCAAGAGATGCACCTGGCCGGCCTGTGCCTGCTGGGTGGAGAAGACAAGCCAAGAGTGGCCCCGTGGCTGCGGGGCAGCAGGAAGGGGTGACCCTGTCCTCACCCGACCTGGGCCACAGATGGAGCAGTTCATCCAGTACCTCGACGAGCCGACGGTCAACACCCAGATCTTCCCCCACGTTGTGCACGGCTTCCTGGACACCAACCCTGCCATCCGGGAGCAGACGGTCAAGGTGGGTGTGGCTAGGCCCAGAGCGACTGCCCCTAGTGTTCCAAGGCTTGTGGGGAGTCACCCCAGGACATGTGGGCTGGGGTTTTGGTTATGGGTCTGAGCAGGTCACAGGAGAGGCAGCACTGGCCTGCAGTGCGGGGGATGGCTATGGGCACAGGAGGCACAGCCACTGAGCTAGGGGTGTGGGGACGAGGGTGGGCACGGCCCACAGTCCTTCAGTGAGCAGACACTCACTGAGCACCCAGCCCCATGTCACACAAGACTCAGGGCGCAAAGGCAGTCATAATCCTGCTCTCAGGGAGCTTCCCTTGGCAGGGGATGGGGAGCGGGCTCGGCACACTCTGCTCAGCAAGCGGAACTAGAAAATGTTTATTTCATGGCAGAAGGTGGCCTGTGCCAGGGAAAGGAGATGGAGGGTGTGGGGCGAGGTTTGCAATTTCAGGGGCAGTGGTCAGGGAAGACCTTGCTGAAGAAGTCATTTTTGGAAAGGCAGGGAGGGAACAAGCTGTGTGGAGATCCAGGGAAGAGTGTTCCTTGCACCAGAAACAGCAAGTGCAAAGGCCCTGAGGCAGGAAAGGCCTGAAGCATAGAAGGAGCCTGAGAAGTCCAGTGCGGCAAAGGGGCATGGTTGTGAGGGAGAGACGGTGGGCCAGGGCCTTGTACGGTGTGGCAGGGACATGGTGCCATCACCGAGTGTGAGACGTGCCCCTGGGAACCTCAGCGGAGGACCTCTGGGGACTGAGGGGACAAAGGGTAGAAGCTGGGAGGCCGGAAGGGTCCACTGTAGCATCCCAGGTGAGGTTGATAGCAGCTCATGTGACGGCAGCAGGTGGAGTGAAGGTGCCTTGTACTGCAGGTAGAGCCAGCTGGGCTCCCTGACAGACGGGGTAGGAGGTGAGGGTGGTTCCACACTTTCTGCCCTGAGCCAGGCAGAGTGGCCATTGGAAGAAGCCAGGAGCAGGGCAGTCAGGTGGCCCACGGTCACCCGCCTCTGAAGTGGAGGGAGGAAGCCGGCTGGAGGTATACCCTTGGGGGTGGTCAGCTCATAGGGCTTTGAAAGCCATGGGACATGATCCCCTGGGAGCGCACAGGGATGAGTGAGGCCTGAGGCCTGGCGCTAGGGTGTCCGAGAGAACCAACCAGCTAACAGACAGTGCTGCAGCGAGAGTGACTGAGGAGCACTAGCTGGTGAGAGTGGCGGAGAACCAGGAGGGTGGGTCCTGGGAGCCCAGGGACGGCCTTTCAGGGGGAGGAGCCCAGTGCTGCCCGAGCTGCTGAGTAGCAGTGTAAGGACGGGGTTGGCGCTGACTTGGCCTGAGCCAGTGTGGTGGAGCATGGTTGTAGAGGGTACCCAGGAGAGAAATGGGCGATAGTGTGTGCAAACAGGCTTCTGAAGTTTCACACTAAAGTAGAACAGAGATATTGGGGCATCGCTGTGCTCCGCATGCTGGGCGGGGGCCAGGCCTCGGGGGGAAGGTAGGTGATAACTGAGCAGGGGCTGGGCTACAGCAGTGACCGGGACAGCAGGGGGAGGGGCGCCTCTCAGGGAGTCTGGCAGAGGACACTGACCCTGAGCTGGGAGAGGGTGGATAGCTGGGATGGGGAGGAGGGTGCGTGGTTGCGGGCGTGGAGTTGATGGCTCAGAGAGCAAAGCAAGGTTCCCAGAAAAAGGATGTGGGGGTCTGGGGGCCCACAAGGCTGAGCCCAGCAGCTACAGTGACCTCTGGCCTGTGGGAGGAATGGAGGAGGCTAGTGTACAGGGTCCAGGGGGGATGGGGGAATGGGACAGGCCTGCAGGGCCTTGTGAGACTCTGGGGTGGGGCTGTCACGGTTGGGTTATGGGGGGGGGCGTGGAGGTGACAGATTGCTCCAGCTGTTGGAAAGTTCCAGGATGGAGCTGGGATCCAAGACCAGATGGAGGAAGGGAGTGATCCAGGTGGGAGATGGTGGGAGAGGCTAGGTCAGATGCGCGCAGGGTCCACAATGGGCTTGGAAAACCAGGCCTGAGAGGCTGGCGGAGGGGGGTAGGGCTCCCACGTGTGGCGTGTGTCCACAGGCCACGCATGGGAGCCCTAAGTGCCTTTTGACTGTGAGAGGGATTTAGAGCTGGTGGGGCTTGGAGGGTATCACAGCCAGAGGGGTTGTGTGCACAGGGCCCAGGAAACAGGTCAGGCTGGAGTGGAGGACGGACCTGGGAGCTGGGCCAGGGAATGCGGACATGATCCCTGTGGCAGATGCACAGGGCTCCACGCAGAGCTTTGGCTGGTCTGTTCAGCTCTGAGGGCCACTGGTGGCCTCTGTGCCCAGCCTGGAGACTACTCCTGCCCGTGACCCTTTACCCACCCAGTGGCCCAGCCCACAGTCCCCCCTGTCTCCACCCCACAGTCCATGCTGCTCCTGGCCCCAAAGTTGAACGAGGCCAACCTCAACGTGGAGCTGATGAAGCACTTTGCACGGCTGCAGTCCAAGGACGAGCAGGGCCCCATCCGCTGCAACACCACGGTTTGCCTGGGCAAAATCGGCTCCTACCTCAGTGCCAGTGTGAGTGCCGCCCAGGGCCCCGGAGTCCCCGTCACTTCCTCCAGGGCCCCATACCCTATCCTCCCGAGACCTAGGCCTGACATCTGGGCCCCCAGAGGTGGAGTGAGTGGCCCCAGGTCACATAGCCAGTAGTTGTGGGTCTGGGATTCAAACGCAGGCCTGCTGCATGTGCACCTTCTCAGCCAAGGATTGTAATGTCTCTGGTGCCCAATGAATAATTAAAAAACACAAAAAAACTCACCACCATTGAGTCGACTCTGACTCATAGTGACACCCTTTGGGTTTCTGAGGTAGTAAATGTTTACAGAAGTAGATTTCCCCACTTTCCTTCCACGGAGCGTCTGGTGGGTTTGAACTGCCAACCTACTGGTTAGGAGTCAAATGCCTCAGGCACTGCACCACCAGAACTCATTGTCATTGAGTCAAATCTGACTCAGAGTGATCGCTCCTTGGGTTCCAAGTTGGTATCTCTACAGAAATAGATTGCCCCTTCGACCTTCTGTGGAGTAACTAGTGAGTTTGAACTGCCAACCTCCCGGTTAGCAGTTAAATGCCTCAGGCACTGTGCCACCAGAGCTCCTAGATGGGTAATGTGGTTGTTGTTGTTTGCTGTCGAGTCGGCCCCGACTCATAGCGACCCCTCCTTGGGTTTCTGAGGCAGTATCACTACGGAAGTAGGTTTGCCCAACCTTCCTTCTGAGGAGTGGCTGGTGGGTTTGAACCTCCAGCCTTCTGGGGAGCAGTCAAGTGCCTTAGGCACTAGCCTACCAGAGCTCCTGGGTAATAGGAATGAATAATCAGGCCAGCAGGGCAGTGGGGAGGGGAGCACAGGCCTTGGTTGTCCTGAGGCATGGTGCCCAGCAGTCTTTTGAGAAGCCAGCATCCCAAGTTTAAGTCAGTTCTTTGCACCTTAACTTATTGGTGACACATTCACATCTTTTAGACTCTGAGCCCTGTGGGTAGCCTCTGCTTGGGCTGTAAGACCTGGGGTTGACCCTATGTGCTCAGTAGTCCTGTTCTCTGCCCCACCCAGACCAGACACAGGGTCCTCACCTCCGCCTTCAGTCGGGCCACCAAGGACCCATTTGCCCCATCCCGGGTCGCGGGTGTCCTGGGCTTTGCTGCCACCCACAACCTCTACTCAATGAGTGACTGTGCCCACAAAATCCTGCCTGTGCTCTGTGGCCTCACCGTGGACCCCGAGAAGTCCGTGCGGGACCAGGTGAGGCGTGGCGGGGGGGCACCTGTAGCTGGGCTGGCAGACCTAGGCCTGTAGGCCTGACAGGCTCCTGGGAGCCCAAGCCCCAGCTCTGCCCCTTGCATCCTGCCCCCAGGCCTTCAAGGCCATCCGGAGCTTCCTGTCCAAACTGGAGTCGGTGTCAGAAGACCCCACACAGCTGGCTGAAGTGGGTGAGTGGGCCACGTCCCCGCTGCATCCCCCCGCCATGAGTCTGAGGAAGCTGGTGAGCCTCAGAGAGTAGGCGTGACAGCGCACCCGCCCTGTCCCCGTTCACAGATGGCAGGGGACCTACGCGGGTGGCTTGGTCTGTACCACCTCCTCATGGGAGCCTGAGCTCATTCCCACTCTCTCTCCTACTACTGCCCAGAGAAGGACGTCCATGCAGCCTCCAGCCCTGGGATGGGAGGAGCGGCGGCCAGCTGGGCCGGTTGGGCCGTGACGGGAGTCTCCTCACTCACCTCTAAGCTGATCCGTGCACACCCCACCGCTGCCCCTGCAGAGACCAGCGCCCCTCTGCGGCCCACACCTGAGGGTGAGTGTCCCTCACCAGCTGCATCAGTGGCTGCGAGAGGGCTTGAGGATGCCGGTCCCCACGAGCTCCTGCAGCCCAGCTGCGTCACCCAGGATGGGGGTGCCGTCCGGTCCCCTCCCCCACCACATACCTCCGTGATCTCTGCCCTGACCTGACCTGACCGAGACCTCCCCAAGCCCAGCCTGTGTCACTCAGCGAGCCTCTGTTCTCCAGGACTGCCTGCCCCGGCCCCTACCTCTGTCCCCACTGCCCCCACAACCTCAGGCCACCGGGAGACACAGGAGGAGGGCAGGGACACAGCAGAGGACAGCAGCTTTGCCGACAGATGGGATGATGAAGACTGGGGCAGCTTGGAGGTGAGTGAGGCTCGGCGGCATCCCAGGGACCCCAGCCCAAAGGCCACAGGCTGCCATTCAAGGAGCTCACGTGGGGCCTGGCTGGAGTCAGACCTGTCCTCATCTGCACAGCATGCCTGGCAAGGGCCATGAAGTGGCCCTTGTGGGTCAGAGCCAGCAGCTGAGTCCCACCACTCAATTCCAGCGGCCCCTGTAAGCAGGGTGGGAAGTGAGGGGATGAAGATGGCAATGAGCGGGGGACGGGGGCAGAGCCCTGGGCCCAGCTTCCCCATCAAGCATCCCAGTCCCCCCACCAGGCATGTGGGGAGGTTCATGGAACATCTAGATGGTCCATCCTCAGGGGTGATGGCAGGGCTCAGCCCGTCCACCTTTAGGGCTGGGAAGTAAGGCCTGAGGAGCACGTAAAACAAAGTAAAACTGAAAGTGCCCAGTGTTGATCACTTGCCCTTCCTGTGTGGGATGCCGTGTGAGCTTCTCCTTCCCACATTCAGCAGGAGGCCGAGTCTGTGCTGGCCCAGCAGGATGACTGGAGCTCAGGGGGCCAAACGGGCACAACTGGGCAGGTAAGTCTGGGTGGTGGTGGTGGTGCATGTCCATGGATAGGGCAGGACCAGCACTGTCTCCCTTCTCCTCACTTGCAGGCCAGCATCTCTGACCACAAATCCCCAGATTCAGACTGGAACAGCTGGGAGGCTGAGGACTCATGGGAGCAGGGCTGGCAGGAGCCGAGCCCCCCAGAACCACCCCCTGAGGGCACACGGTTGGCCAGCGAATATAACTGGGGCAGCTCAGAACCCAGTGACAAGGGTGACCCATTCTCTGCCCTGGTCACGCGTCGGGAGATGGGCGCCCAGGTAAAAGAGGCGGGGAGGGTGCAGACCTGGAGCTGACCTTGGCCGTGAGTTCTCACCCCAGTCTGTTTCCCTTTACAGCTGAGGCCGGACTCATGGGGTGATGACAACTGGGAGGGCCTGGACACTGACCGTAAGTGTGCCTCCCCTGGGAGGGCAGATGGCCTAGCTCCAGCCCTGGAGCAGGTGTTGGCTGGGAAGCAGACCAGGCTCCACCCAAACGGCTTCCTCCCCATCCCGCCCCAGGCCAGGGCAAGGCAGAGCTGGCTCGGAAGAAACGGGAGGAGCGGAAGAGGGAGATGGAGGCCAAACGCGCAGAGAGGAAGGCAGCTAAGGGCCCCATGAAGCTGGGCGCCCGGAAGCTGGACTGACCCGAAGGGGTGGGCGCTCCCCAAAGGCCGCGACAGCAGGCCTTGCAGGGGTATTTATTGTACAGACCATGTAAGCCGGGCCTGACCGAGCCTGTCTCAAGTGTACATAATCAGGACCACAATAAATTCTGTTTCACACCCCTGTCCTGGGCCCACTCTGGCCCCTCAAGGTGGCCGGGGTTCTGGCACTGCCCTAGGGACTCCGCGGCCCCTGGTGGGGGCCTTGCCGCCCTGCACATCATTTGCTCGGAAAGCCAAGAGGAAAAAGGAGGATCTGGTTTATCAGTTTCCAGGGACCGCTCTCTGGGAGGAAGGACGCCCCCTCCCCTGGGGGACCAACATCAGCACTGCTTTGGGGGGGCTGCTGCTGGGGGGCAGGGTGGGTGCCCTCGGGTCACGGAGGTGGGTAACGGGTCTGCAAGGCCCCCAGAGTCTCAGCTCAGTCTGCGTACTGGGTGGGAACTTCTCGGCCGGCGCGCAGTGTCAGCGGCGGCGCTGAGGCACGCAAGCCCCGTGGGGGCGGCTGCGGACGAAACCGGCTTTGCAGACACAGCGGAAGGAACCACTCGTGTTCACGCACCGCTCACTCTTGCACAGCAGTCCGCGCTGGTTCAGCTCTCGACACTCGTCGATGTCTGCAGGTGGGGGTAACAGGTCGTAGGGGCAACAGGTGTAGGGGCGGCAGGGCCCAAGTCCCCTGAGCCTCGAGCCTGCCCCGCCTCAGCCAGCCGGCGGCCCAGCTCCGTCCCGCCGCCCGGGCTCACCGACGCAGCGGGCTCGGGTGGAGTCGAGCTGGAAGCCGCCGGGACATTCGCATACAGCGCCGCTGGGCCGCAGCACGCAGCGGCCGCTCACGCAGCGGCACTCGTCCGAATCCTCCTCTGAGCTATCCTCTTCTGCGCGGGCCAGGAGAGTGCGGGTGTCAACACCGCTCCCGGCGCATGGCACCGACCCCTTCTCCCCTCTCGGGCCCACTCACCTCGCGGAGTCTTCCCCAGCAGCAGGGGACTCGCGTCCCAGAAAGAATTGCTTTCGCTCTGCGACGTCGGGCACTGGGACCCTGGGGGGAGC